CTCTGATATCATCATGCTTTATTTTTGCAGATGACGTCAAAGTGGTTGGTTCGAATGGGAGAAGTGATCTGGAACGGAATTTAGAGCATGTAACTAGATGGGCAAAGGAATGGGACGTAAGCCTTAACGCTACCAAGATTCATGTGCTCACAGGGGCACTTGACAGAATGGTGGTTCACTCGGAGGAACTCGAATTCGCCGTCGAACCTGCTATTAGGGTTAAGGACTTGGGGGTCATAATATCGAACAACCTTAAGTGGGGTCTGACCAATGTCAAGTAGCGGCGCGCAGGGCTAGGAGGAATTATTCAGACTACGGTCGGTTTTAACATGCAGAAGACCGGAAGTCTTCATTCCCGTTTACGAAGCCATGGTCAGGCCACATCTAGAGTATTGTGTACAGGCTTGGACACCCTTATTCAAGAAGGATGCTGCCTGTTTAGAGAAAGTTCAGAGATTGACCACCAGAATGGTTGAAGGCCAGAGGGAAAAACATATGAGGAAAGACTTGAGGCACTCGGACGTTTCTCATTAGAAAGAATGAAACTGCTGGCAGACCTGATAGAAACCTTCAAAATCATGAAGGGAATATCGGGGATAGAAGCGGACAGTCTCTCCATATTAGCTCCCCAACACGGCACTAGAGATCAAGATCATGGAGCGGAGGTGTCGACTAAACATGAGGAAGCACTTTTTCAGCAACAGGATAGTGGACAGTTGGAACAGGCTTCCCCAGGAAATCGTTGACCTCCCAACTGTGCAAGCATTTAAGACTGCACTCGATAAGCAATAGGTGGAACTATTCCTATCACTGGCAGTGTAGACGTGTGTAGGTGTGCCAAATGTTTAGGATGCCTTTTCCATTTTTACTGGTACACGCATGGAATGCTCACGTCTAATAATTCACTTGAGATGAAATTTTATTTCTCATTCTTATTTCAGCAGTGCTGAGTGCCCACGTTATGAGCATACCATCGAAGGAATTCTGGACGCTCGATTGTCTGTGGCCATATTAAGTCCTGTGCAACCTTGACCTTGACCGCGTGGTTCGAATTTTTGTCATAGTAGATAAGTCTTGCATTTTTCAATCTTTAGTTATCCTATGTTAATGTAGTTGCATAATTAGGGTCTTCATTTTAGCGTTGCTATATTATACTCTTAGTAGGATAAACGTTTTTGACATTTTTTGAGCGTCGTGTTCCGTACACCTTATACATTGCGTAGCCTCTTTTGAAGCTGGTGGTAACATATTTAGTTGTTTTCCGACTTTCATAGCCTTTTTACCATGCGACGTGTGTCTTATCCATGCCTGAATGTATCTTGTGGTAGACGGGTGGTCTCAGGTATAGAATGCAACATATTTGAGCATTTGGCACACAAAATTTGCTCGAAGCTCTCAAGCGAGCTATTCAAACTATACAGCAACTACGCAGATCTTCTGTGGATCTGCCAAGGATGCTGAAAGAGATCGCAAGATCTGTAATAAAAGGCAGCCAGAATTCCTCGGATAATGCTGATGACATGCAAGGGCAAACGCTACGCGTAAGCGAGTCGCCACTCAAATCACCACCGGGTCAACTCGGAAAACACCACCCAAACATCAAGGTAAATCGTCGCTTCTGAGGAGCTCTTTGGATCACTCGACATCCAAGACCCACACAGCGAGTCCGAAAAAAACTCGCAACAGCAAACAGCCTGAACCAGCCATACCCCGAACCAAGCAGAATATACAAGAGACGACACAACGTCAATCAACAGTTGTCTCTCAGAACCAAACTGTTGTGAAAAAACAAAACAACAGTTCCATAAAATCAATCGCGCCTGCTTCAACGCAACCGACTCGACGTGCTGGACAATTCAATAGAAACAAGACAAGTCCTAAAGAGATCGGGGAAAAGAGAGGAAACCCCCAGCACAAAAAGGACAGCCACAAAGTAAATCGGCAACCCACAGGTTTTCAGATGGGTGCTCCGCCTGATGGTTTCAAGGCAGCTATCTCTCGAGACGAGAAATAAAATGTTAGAACTGAGAACTTGGCTTGCCACATACAAAGGTAACTCATAGAGATCCAGAAGCTCCACGCGTCCTACGAGACCACCTTAGGCAGGACGCGCAACGTGATAATTCACGCTCCAGAGCCAGTTATCTCCAACACCGCTCAACTGATCGCCGCGGAGAAAACACTCATTCGGAGTGTGCTGCGCAACGCCGGTTGTCACCCCAAAATGACTTGGAAACGAGCACACAGACGGGGAAAATGGGTCCCACCAAAACAGAATGGCCTCCTTACCAGTCGACCTCTGCTCGTGGAACTCCACAATGCAGAAGAACGAGACTTTCTCCCATCGAAGGCGCCGGTCATCGCTAGCACAATGACCAACATTAAAATCGGGGCAGACAACCACACCCGTAAAGCGGTCATCTCGGGTCCTCACTACCCCCTGGAAGCGCCGGTAGTAACCTCAGAGTACATCCCACAACAACTGCAAAGAACCCGATCCCTGGACCACATTCCAAAAATGGAGACCCTCCTACGAGGATTACTCCACCGACATAACGACCACCAAACAGCGCAACCACCCACAGATCCTCTCCTGTGGGCTGATAAACGTTTGCAGCATCCTAAACAAGAGAGACGAGGTGACTGATACTCTCGGCACTGTTGATCCGTGCGTCCTCACGGAAGCGTGGTTGCGCGAGGAAATCGAAATCGGTAACTGGAGCCGCAATTTTCAGCATTACCGCTCCGACCGTGTTAACTCGCTTGGTGGAAGTTGCTTGCTACTAGTGCGGCAAGTGATCCGCCAGTCAACGATGCATTTCATGGCTAGCTCAACAAACATTCAATCAGCAGCCTGCATTCTGCACGTGGAGCCCCCCGTCATGGCAGCCCAAGCTCGTCACACCTAGAAGATGAGAAACTTCTTCAGGCCTTGCGTGGCGCTGCTAGATCAGGATATCAGCTCTTGATTCTAGGTGATTTCAACGCGCCCACTGTCAACTGGTCATACCAAATATGTCGCGGAAATGAGTTTGATATGGCTCTGCTCAACATCGTATCCGGTCTAACCCTGACGCAGCATGTGATGGTACCTACTAGGATAAGATCTGGACAAGCACCCTCCACTCTCGATCTCGTTCTAACGAGGAACAGCATTGACGTCGCGGGAATGAGGACCGGAATTCCTTTAGGCAAAAGCGACCACTCACCGGTGTTCTTCAAATTTCACCGAGTAGAAACCTTGAAGCCCAAAACTGGAACTCGAAGATTCCACAACATCAACATTGATGACGTGGTCAACGGAGCGGAGGGACTGTGTTGAGACAATCTGAGCTCTATAGAGGACACCTGGAACCGAATGAGGGACAACATTGTACTCCTCACGGAAGTCTACGTTCCTGTGAAAACAACGGGGATAAGGG